ACACTGTTGCTTCAGAGAGACCAGACGTGTCATCCTGGCGCCTTTTTCATTTGTTTCCGAGTCAAAAACAGTGAAGTGATGTCATCCTCTACTGAGGGCAGCCTTTGATGTCCGTTCCCAATTAATTCTCATTGGACTATATTTGTTTGGTGTTTTCCTATTAATTAGGGATAGGAGAAATATCATTTTCAATGCATGGTAATTGTCTCTTGATTGTTTAAAAATCACTCATTGTAAAATTGTATTTACTTATACGCTGGCATAATAATTTGATAACCACTTTATAATCATTTTGTAATAGTATAATTTAGCGTCGCAGTGGTAACTGAATCAAATTGTGAAGGACCCTGAGATTCTAGTATTAGTGTTAATCAACATCAATATGTTGACTAAAACAAATATTCAGTTTGTCATTGTTATCACGACAGGTCTAGTCATGTCCAGGCATAGACCAGCCTTTAAGCTTGGTCCATATGCTAAAGCTAGGCCTGACATTTAGTCTGAAACAAAAGGCGTGTGAGTGATAACAGAACAAACAGCAAGAGGAAAGACTAAAAAAAGACCAAAAAGTCCTGTTCTTCCAAACAATGAATCCTGAAAAACGACAAGGACTCCCCTCCAGGAACCTGAAAGTACTGTGTCAATAGATGATTCCCAAACATAAAAATAGGATTATTTGTCTGCCCCAAAATACAATACTACAAAGACACCATTTTGTATTTACCGTTAAGGAGACAAAAGCAGTAATTATCTAGTTGTTACTTAAAGCATTTGGCACATTATCAAAATAACTTTGATTTTAAAAATGACAAGACAACTTTAATTTGTTTGCAAACATAAACCAGTTTTGATTCTGCATAGGTTTTATGATTACAGTTAAAATACCCTTCTCACTAGTGCAGTGTGCTGGTACAACGTTATTGTGTTATGCAAAACTAGGTTTAGGTGCGCTGCCTGAGCTAACGTTGTACTGGACTAGTGTACTAAACGGCTGAGCTCTTACTGTTGCGTGGTGCTGTACACCCAAAACAACATTGAAATAAAACTTATATAACATCATTTTAAAATAAACCACGAACCTTCGCTGCTGCATTCGCCTCAATTTAATGTCACGATGCAACAAAGAGTTTAATGTAGAAATGTATAAACTAAAATAGATTCTACGAGACACAGAAATAAAGTTAGGTAGCAGCATTAACAAGATTTTCAAAGATAAAGGGTGAAGTTATATTAGAAATGCAAAAGTTTTTGCCTTTATAAAGACGATCTAAAATCTGTCACGAAATTCCCAAAAATGCGAATTTACATCAATTCTAGTTTGTGGTTAGTTTCTGGGCGCTGCTACGTAAACTCGTCTGTATCCTGTTTACAGGCCTGTATACCTGCTCTAACCTGACACACGCAATCTGCCCCCTTTAGCATTCGTTAGCCGCTTAGCTAAAGCTGTAATTGAGCAGTCTCTTACTTGTCTTCTTACTTCTGTCGCTGTTCCTCCACGGGGCTGTAGATTCCTGCAACCGTGTGGTTCTTTTCTATTCGGAATATTTACACTTTCATGCAGAACCCCACCGACAGATGAGCATCCCCTGCCCGCTTTTGGTGCAGCTGTTTCCTAGCCTCTCGATGTCCTGTCCCGCCCCTCAACGTCATGCCATGACATAGAGGAAAAGGGATAAGTCCACGCGAGCTCAGGGACCCACCCATGTCTTGCCTCTGATTGGCCTGCTTTCTCGGCTTTAGCCCATCATATTATTTATTTTTAAAAACCAACCACCGTACTGGTATAATAAAGACATAAACACCAGAAATGTATAGTTTCACGGATGTGTTTATATCGAAATAGTTATGTAACAACAATACTTTTAAAATTAAAATGTAGCAAAAGAAATTAACGAGTTTCAAAAAATGTAAAACTGCATAGTTCCGGTAGAGGGCAGTGTCGTGCAGATTTATTTTTTTAATGATACGACTTTTACTACACATTATTTATATATTACAGGCAGCCAGTGTGAACCGTTTTAGGATTTTTTTTCCTTACAAATAAATTAGTGGATGGCGCAACTAGAGTGAAACCTTATGTAACGTAGTTCTAACTCTCCCGATGGATAAATGTATTTTTCTTAACATACAATATACATATAAAGTACTAGTTCAAAAGAATGGAAATGGAAAGAATGTACAAGCTGATGTTTTATCCTCTGTTCTGGGCCTTGAGGATTTAAATTAGTCATTAACACGTTCATAGCAGTAGAAAATGAAAAGGACAAACATGACTCATGTCTAACAAAAAAAAAATGCATTCAATGCCGACCTGTTGAGGGACTTTTTGAGCTTCACAAGGGCAAATACAAAAACCTTTCTTGTTTTATCCACCAGGGAATAAAACCATCCTTTAGAAGAAAAGCATAGAATATTTTTCATTATGTTTATTGTGTTAAATTCTCATGGTGGCTCAGAAGTTCACTACAAGATATCTTTGTTCAGGTCTAAGAGATTCACATTGTTAAGCTGTTAATATATATATACATATATATATATATATATATAATAACTCCAAAGAAACATCTGCCCCACCCCCCCCCCCCCACCCCCCCGTCATATCTTT